AACCCTAAACCCTAATCCCCAAACGCAAAGGCAATTTTCTGGATATCAACCTCGTCTCCGGGATGTTGATTTTACTGGACATGGGCTCGCTGTCCGTTCAGGAGCAGGGGGTCAGGGTTTAAAGGGTTTAGGGGTAGGGGTTTAGGGNNGGGTTTGGAGGGTTTAGGGGTTTAGGGGTGTAGGGTTTAGGGGTTGAGGGTTTAGGGGTTTAGGGCTTAGGGTTTAGGGGTTTAGGGTTTGTACAGTTTTGGGATGTTGGGGGTTGCAGAGGCCACCTAAGCCCGAAACCCCAAACCCCATAAACCCCACAACCCTAAACCCTACAAACCCCACAACTCTAAACCCCACAAGCCCCACAACCCTAAACCCTGTAAACCCCACAACCCTCAACCCTATGAGCCGCAAACCGTTTCAGGGCCTAGGCCTAGAGCTCCAAGGCGAAAGGTTGAGGGTGTCCTCTGGGTTTGGGTTTAGGGTTTAGAGTTTAGGGTAGTTCTCTAAATTAGGGTCCCTTTTAGGGTCCATTTTATAAGGGTGCCGTACTATATTCATACCCTAAAAAGGGACCCTAATTTAGAGGACTACCCATATGCAGACAGTTTAGCGGCTTCGCAGCTGTAGTTTGAACCCCATCCCTAAATCCTAAACCTCAGACCTATTGTTGATGATATGAAAAGAAACCAGTGTAAGTAGCGACGCATTGTGGTGCTATTCCTTATCAGGTTGTATCATACACAGCAAGAAATCAACGGTTGATGATCTAAATCCTGCATTAGCCATAGCAATGAATTTAGAATAATTCCCATAGTTTAGGGTCCTTAAGGTAATCCAGGATTCACCCTAACCCCCTAAAGCCTAACCCTAATTCCCGTAGTTTAGGGTCCTTAAGGTAATGCGGGATTATACCATCGACAATATCAACAGCTGGAAGTAGAGTTACTAAACTCACCTGCAGCGCTTGGTACGAGATGCTGGCTTCTTCTTGGAATCGGCGGATAAACGCAGTTTGTTTTGGATTTACAAGTGCCCCTGCAGGGTTTAGGGTTCAGGGTTTAGCTGAGCCTTTTGTTGGTTGCCTTGGATTCTTGTGGCAGGATCCTACATAACCCCACCCTAACCCCTTAGCCACACCATGAGATAATATAACGGCCTTAATAATTGCCTATACTTTTTTGGGGGGCTCCGTACTATAGATATTGTATAATATACCCCACAAACCTATTTCTAATTATTAAGGCCCCAATCCCTTAAACCCTAAACCTTAAACCCTAAACCTCAACCATTAAGGCCCCCCATCTTAGGCTGCCCTACATGCTGAGTTTAGGTAAGACCAGACCCCCGAGCCGGCTCGTCCCTTAGGGTTTGGGGTATAGGGTTTAGTATTCAGGTTTAGGGTTTAGGGTTTAGAGTTTAGGGGTCTAGGGTTTAGGGTTTAGGGTTTAGGGTTTAGGGGTTTAGGGTTTAGGGTTTAGTTTAGGGTTTAGGGTTTAGGTAGTGCTAGATTACAAAGCCTAAACCCAAGATATCTGTGTTTTTTTCAATGTGTGAGGTTGTTATCTGCAGCCAGATCTGTACTGTACTTGCCGTAAATATGAGCTACTCAGCAAGTCCGGTTTAGAGTTGAGTAAGGAATTTAGGGTTGTTGGGGTTTGGGTTTCGGGTTTAGGGTTCAGGGTTTCCCCGTCGGAGTCGGCAGGAAAGGCAGACGCCAACAACTACTACGATTGCCACGGCCGCATAGCTCGCATGGCTTGTAGGCTTTATATTGCTGTAGTGCGTTGTAGTGCAATATCACAAAAAACACCGTTCTAGTCATTGAAGCCCGTATATCAAGTTGTTATGTTCGGTTTTAGAGTCGGGTTCAGACATTTGTGGGCTCTATCTCTTCCAGTAGCTGCCATAGTGTGCTGCTCGTGTTTCCCGAAACCTCCATGTGCCCATATAGTGTATACTTGGGCCTTAACGGGGTTCCTGTATGGGCACTGTAAGGCCTAAGTATATACCAAAATATGTACATGGAGCCTCATCCTAGGTAGTAGTAGGGAGACCCCTTGAAGGGGACCCTTCCTAACCCTACTCTATGGCTCTCTTAAAAAAGGACCTTATTGAGAGGGTCTATATCCCCCAAAATTCCCTATAATCCTAACTCGCACAACCCTAAACCCTAATCCCTGATCCCTAAACCCTAATCCCTAAACCCTAAAATTCCCTCTAATCCTAACTTCGACCTGAAGGTTTTGGTTTTGGGAATAGCGAGACTTAGGTCGGTGTATGTGCGCCCTTGCGTGGGGTCTTTCTACTTCGCAACTTGTTGTCCTAGCCCTAAGGGTCCAGGTACCCAAATACTATATACTTTGGCCTGAAAGTAGTTCCTATTTGGGTACTTCGGGGCCAAAGTATCTACTATTTGGGCACATGGACCCTTAGGGTAGGGTCCATGTGCCGAAACAACAATATTTCGACCCTAAGGTACTTGTACTTGTAGCTGTTTCATGGCCAAAGTGTATATTATAGGGGCACATAGACACTCATACCCCAAACCCTGACAGAAACCTTCTAGTACCCGTATAAGAATCAATAAAGGAGCCTCAATACGAACACCAACACGGGATTTCCTGAAAGTCGCCAGGCCTCGCGACTTTCGTTTTTACCACGGTTTTAGCGTTTACATAGGCTTTAGGGGGTCCAAGTATCGACGGCACTGCGGCATAACTGCTGTTGTGGTTCCTGTGCCCTGAGCATCAAGGCCTAAACCCTACTTCTTACTCCTAAACCGTACTTCCTTGGTTCAAAAGCCCCCTAAACCCTCAGCCCTAAACCTAAAACCCAGAACTCTCCAAAACCCTGCAAGACGCGAATACGACCTACGGCCGTTGGGTCAAGGTCAGCTTTTCATTGATGACCTCTGCGGCTCTTGTCGCCTCCGCGTTCGGCATTATCAGGCACTCCCATTGCCAAGGTCATAATATAGATATAGGAGTCTTAAATTAGAATAGGGTTTTGGTGCCCATTATACTATAATTATAATAAGGAACCACCAAAACTCTATTCTAATAATTAAGGCCCCTAAACCCTAAACCCTCAGAGTAGCCCCTTATAGAACTCTGTAAAGAACCCTTTAAAGGCCCCAAACCCTATTCTAATTATTAAGGCCCCTACATTATGCGTTTTATACCGGCTCTGTCAGGGGGCTCTGTAAAGGTTCACAGGCTTGTAAAGGTTTGAAGTGTTTGTCTATGTGCCCTATGTCCCAGAAGGTCTATATATACTACCATTATCTAATTAGGCCCCAAAAGATCGTCCTTATTGTGGTTCGGGAACCTAATTTCATTCATAGCAGTGGCATATATGATGCAGGGCTGCCACACCCCCCCTCCCCCCCTCCCCCCATGGTATCCCCCCTCCCCCCACCCCCACCCCCCCCTGTGGGGTGGGACCTGTGGTTGCATCCCCGCCCTTAGCTGAGGCTTTGGTTGGCCTTGTTCGCAGCTGTGCCTGCTGCCGGTGATACTGCTCATGGCTCGTGAGTCG